AGCCGCCCGGGAAGAAACAGCCAGTTCTGAGCAGGAGGTGGACACCTCCATCCAGGCAGAAGGCAGCGATGTCGTGCACCTGTTTTCTCAGAGCGAGCCGGGAACAGGGAGGAAAGATGTGCCGCGCCAGCACGGCCAGGGGTGACCCTGAGAGGGGGCAGCTGAAAGGCTTAGAAAAGACAGACAAAAAGAAAGGTGGGTCTCCGGGTGTGGGGGGGAGGGGGCGGGATGCTGCTTCTCTGAGAGACAGCGACCACGCCCCACAAGCCCTGTCTTTATTTTATAGCAGAGGCCACAAGGCAAAGAGAGGGCGTGGCCAAGATGTTTACAACATTCTCGTGGGTTTTGGTCCTACTCAACTACATGCACCTGAACTCTATCAAGCCTCCATTACTCAGGCACATGGGGCCACGTGTTCGGACCATAGGTCCAAGCTCACAACTAGAGCTGTTGGCTATCATTGTGCTGGGATGGTCCTGCCCTCCAAGCTGGGACTTGCACGTGGCCATGAGAGGACTGTGCCCTCTCATTAGTTTGAACACCTTGAACCTGTCCAAACGCTGTAGCCGCTCTCCACAGAAAAAGGAGACATTGCCGTCCTAAACCGATGAAAGGTTTAAAACTCAGTGGTTGAGGCCCTAATCTGAAATCGGAGACGTACTAGGTTTAGGTCTCAGAACAAGCTCTTTACCTCGCTGTCCCTCAGTTTCCCAATCTGGAAAGCGGGTAGGGTAACAGTACCCAACTCTCAGTAATATTTTCCATGAAGGGCGGACAGCAAACAGCGTAGGCCTTTTGGGCCATATGACTTCTATTGCAAGTCTTCACCTCCACCTTTTATTGTGGAATAAAAGCAGCCACAGAAATAGTCAGTGAACGAACATGGCTATGTCCCAATAAAACTTTATTTACAAAACAAGTGGTGGGGCCCTGACCAGTTTGGCTCAGTGGATAGAGGGTGGGCTTGCAGACTCAAGGGTCCCAGGTTCGATTCTGGTCAAGGGCATGTACTTGGCAGCTGCCCCTCAGCTCTGCAGAGTTTGACATGTGGGAAAGAAGCCCAAAAATTGCCATGTCTTCTGGCTCTGAGAAAGAAGCCATGTATCCAGATGTTTATGTGAAACACCCTGAACTTCAATCGCTGGCAACGAACAGGTTCACCATAAAGAGAGAGTTGTCTACAATAAGGTGACTAGATGTCCTGCTTTTAGCAGGACAGTCCCGATTTTTAACCATTTGTCCTGGCGTTTTTATTTTTATTTATTTTTTTTGAAATTTATTTATTTATTTATTTTAATATATTTTATTGATTTTTTTGCCCCCCTCCCTCCCATACATACCTTCCCTCCCCAGAGTTTTATGTCCATTGGTTGTACTTATATGCATGTATACAAGTCCTTCGGTTGATCTATTATCTCCCCCAGATCTCCCTCCCCTTCCTGCTGTAATTTGACAGTCTGCTTGTTGCTTTACTGTCCAAAAATTGGGACTTTTAAAAATGCCGCTGGACGCGTGACAAACTGTTAGAAATCAGGACTGTCCTGCCAAAAGCGGGGCGTCTGGTCACCTTAATCTACAAGCCAATTAAAATATTCAGCCTTCGGGGTGAACACTACCTCGGGCTGTTGGTTTGAGCATAGAAACAAGAACCAAAGACGAAATCAACACATCCATTTTAAGAGTGGATGCAAGTGCCCAGTCATTTTTCAAAGGGCAGGTCTCCCTAGTAAAGGCTGAAAAGAAAATAATGTTGGCTTTGAAGCTAGTATAAAATAATATTTTATATTATATGTCAATCGTAATTAAAAAATAAAGAAATCCACTCCCTTTCTTTGTCCCTGATTCTATTATATTCACCGGGGAAGGGGGTTTGAGGGGTGCAGGAAGAGATGGGACAAAAATCTTACACCTCTGGATGAAGACAGTGGTGGTTGTGGGGGGGGGGGAAAGGCATAGGGATGGAGTGGGAAATCAGGTGAAGGGGAGCTATGAGGGGGGTGGGGGGAAGAGGAATACCTATAATAATCTGAACAATAAAGATTTATTTAAAAAAATAAAGAAATCATGGCTACTAACTAAAAGTCCGCTATTATTTACATTCTATTTCTCAAATCTAAACCTTCAGGCCTTCTGTTGGGGAGGATGGGGACTGCAGAGTGAACTCGAGGGCACTGAGCCACCCTGCTCGCTCCAAAGGCCACACTGAGGTCATAAAAATGCATCAGGCAAGGAGCAGAGTGAGAGAGAGGACGTGAGCGAGAGGGGAGGAGGGACAGAGGAAGAAAGAGGACAGCAGAGGACGAGAGGGAAAGGGGAGGAAAGAAAGTAGATCTCCACTCTCTTTTCAAGGCTGACTCCTTCTCCTTCTCGGACCCCTGACGCTTCTGTTCTTCTGTTCCCAGCTGGAGCAATCTGGTTTCTGGTTGACATGGACCATTTGATATTTTTGCTTGACTGACTCTTCCCTGGGAAATTTGCTCCTATGAGAAGGTGTCAGTAAAGAAGAGAGAGGAAAACCATGACAGGAGGCCAGAAACCTTACACTTTTCAACATTTTTTTTTTCTCCTCTAACTCATACGGTTTCATAGCCAAACCTATGGCCAACCTGCTGGCCTCCCCCTCAGGGGAGAGAGCGGCAGCCTACTTCCATCTTCAGGAAGTTTCTCCCCCAGCACTCACCACCATCCCTCTAGGAGTCTCCCTGGGAGTTCTGTTCAGGTCCCTAATAAAAATAACTCCGAAGTCATGTATTTCTGTTTCCTAACATAAACTTTCCAGTTTACCAGAGGTCATTACCAAATCATATAATGGAACCATTGCATTTTTAAAAAATATATTTTTATTGATTTTTTTTTTTTTTTTTTTTTTTTACAGAGAGGAAGAGAGAGGGATACATCGATGAGAGAGAATCATCGATCAGCTGCCTCCTGCACCCCCCCCACCGGGGATGTGCCCGCAACCATGGTACATGCCCCTGACCGGAATCGAACCTGGGACCTTTCAGTCCGTAGGCCGACGCTCTATCCACTGAGCCAAACCGGTTTCGGCCCATTGCATTTTTGATAACTGCAGACTCCAATGATGGGTTATACCTACAAAAATTAAAGAATTAAATTCCCTTTTATCACTGCATACAAAGACGTTAAGGTCTAATATGTATTGAGTCCCAATTTGCTGCTGAGGAAGACTCCTTTCAGTGGAGGATGGAGTGTCTGTACCGCAAACCACTGCATGGCCCAAGGTCCTAGTCCCCAGGTGAGCTGAATGCTGCTGTCTTCACTCTCTCCTGGGGACCATGCTTTTTAAGACCCCTTTCCAGTGTGATCCTAGGGGCACGTGTGTCGATGGAAGCGTGGTCATTATCTTCAGGGGTTGGGTTCACTGGACATACAGCCTTAGGTTTTGCAGACCTTGTGTTTAGTTTCCCATGTGGATTTCAACTTTGGCCAAGACCAAGGCCAAGGTTGCTTCTCCTGTTCATGGGTGGTGGTAGAGGTGACCTCCCGACTCTCCATGCCACTGTCCTGGAGGCATCAGTCAACACGTAGTTCTAAAATCAGTCTTGTAAGACCAGCTAGGATGCCCCCATCACTGATGGGGCCAATCTGCACCATTTGTGGCTCTGAACTCATCATCACCACGTTGTGCTAGAGTTGCAGTGTGGCTCCGCCTGGTTCCAGTTTCATCCGGCACAGGTCAGGGTCTGTTCTTGGCTTTCACAGTGACCCCTTCCTTCCCCCAAACAGCACTGTAGTGGAAGCACTTCATGCCCGTCTTCTTAAGTGACATCCGGGGCCTGTGACGGGAAATAGAATTCGTGATTCCACCTCTGCCTTCCAATCACATCAGCGGTAGAACCTTTAAACGCCCATCACATGGAGACCCCGTCAATAGACTCTTCCTTTTCCCGTCTTTCCTGTGGATTCAATTCACTGCAGAAGTCGTGACAGATGTGAGGAATCCATTGTTTACATCGCCATAGAAGAGCAAGGTGGATTAAGAAAGGCGAAGAACCATTCACACCAAGAGAGAGAATGAAACTGCATGTTTATTTGAAAAGTATAAAATTAAAAAAACAAAACAAACACAGAACACAACCCTAGCCAAAAAAAAAAAAAAAAAGTTCAACTGCACACACCTTTCCAGTTTACATCAACTTTAAACATCACGCACCATTAACCACTTAGTTGCATTGCTAAGAATTGTCGATTTCAAATGAGAGGGAGCGGAGGCCGGTGGTAAGCTAGCTTATCACAGCGAAAGTATTTTAATGTGAAAATAAAAAAAGGACTTTTGGATTTCAATTGAGAGAGGAGAGCAGAGATGGTTCTCCAGTTGGCATTGATTTAGGCAATGTATAAAAAAAATCCTGATCGGAACGAGTTAAAAAATACCGTGGGTCACTTGTTATCTTGAAGACAGGGGGTGGGAGAACCCCAAAACCCCCTGCAGCTTTGGTGTCCTATTTACATATTTTTAAAAACATTCATTACAAAGAAATCAAATCTGTAATAAAAATGTCCCTGTGTTTGTTTTGTTAAAACAACAGCATTTAATAGATTTCCCTTATCTACCCGCAGCATTTGTTTCCTAAAATGCCTGGCAGCAGAATTGTTCGTGAGATTAGTTCACTGCACAATTAATTGAAATTAGAATCCTTTGCTCTAAGCTACTTCCTGGGCACCAGGCAGAAGCAGGGGCCCATCGGAGGGAGAAACACAGCCATTCCGACTCGCAGGAGGGCACCGTTCGGCCCGAGTCCTCACACACTCTGGCCGCCTTTGCTAGCCCTCGCCTGACTGGATGACTCAGAAAAGAAAGTGTTATTTTAAAAATAAAAGATGCAGCCGAAACCGGTTTGGCTCAGTGGATAGAGCATCAGCCTGCGGACTGAAAGGTCCCGGGTTCGATTCCGGTCAAGGGCATGTACCTTGGCTTTGGGCACATCCCCAGTGGGGGGTGTGCAGGAGGCAGCTGATCGATGATTCTCTCTTATCGATGTTTCTAACTCTATCCCTCTCTCTTCCTCTCTGTAAAAAAATCAATAAAATATATTAAAAAAAAGAAAAAGAAAAAAATCACCACGTGGTTAGCTTTTCCGTAATATCCTCTGGATTTGGTTAAGAAGTCTACGGAATAAGGATCACGGGACACCTCTTCCTCCCTGTCTGCAGGCTCCTTGTGAGTGAGCATCAGAGCGGCTGCCGAAAGCGTCGTGGGCTGTGGAGAGAAGCCCTGAGTGGGTGGGAGCTGCCCAGAGTGGCTCCGCCTGGTTCCAGTTTCATCCTGTCAGCGTCCTGCCAAATAAGGTCTAGGTTCCTACCCGTTATCTCCCCAGGGGGTGGGCCCCGGGGCTGGCCGGGCACAAAGAGGGCAGCTAGCAGGAGCACAGAGACCGTGACACATCCTTCGAGGACTCCATCAATGACAATCCCAAGTGCCACGGTGCACAAGCGCCTGGCCCACGGGCCCGTCTGGAGGGGCTTTACGGGTGTGTGTGTGTGTGTGTGTGTGTGTGTGTCAGCGGGACACAGGCCGGACCCCCGTTTGCATCTTTCTTTGGACCTCACTAAAGAAAACACAACAACAACAAAAAAGACAGCTGTCCTATACACATATAAATAGTCCCTTAACTAGAAGGGAAAAACAAAACAAAACCCAAACACACTGTTTCAAATGCATTTCTAAGAGATTAAAAAAAAAAAAAAAAAAAAAAGTCCAAATGGCAAATCTTGACTCCAAATCGTCCACCGTCCGTGCCTCTCAGGGGAGAAACGATGGGATGTCCGAAGGGGCCCAACTCTAACTGTACCCCTGACCCTACATCGATCGGGGCCCGGGGGAGGGGAGAGTGTGCAGTACAGGGAGCTGGGAGCTCTGGGGGGAGGTTCTCACACGGGTTAGAAAAGGCAGTGTCAAGTCCAAACGCACAGGTAACGTGACTTCTGCGTGTGAAGGGAACCTGGGGGGCTAGTGTGGAAGCTGCAGGAAGGGCGGCCGGGCGGCTGGGTGAGGTTCACGGGCACCAGGGTCACAGCAGGGTGCACATCGCCGGGCCACAGGCATGTCACAGCGGGAGGCTGCCGATCCAGGAGCCGGGGGAGGGACTGTGGGCACAGCGGGCCTCTGCTCCACTCCTTCCTGCCTGTTCTGGGACGAGGCTGAGGATATGCGGCCAGAGACGCTCTCCAAACGGGGATTCTCAGGCCACGAGTTAAAGCCAGAATTTACCCAGAGTGGACAGGTTCAGGGTCATCCCCAACACCTGAGTGACACGGCTGACCACTGACACGTGCTCTCTGGCCACCGCTGCCTCCGCTGAACGGAGGGGAACACGGAGGACAGTGCGGGATGCTCGCCGGGCCTCCCTGCAGGGCGGCCACCCCGAGGCGGCCTCCTGGTGGGCGGGCCCTGTGGCTGTCCACAGAGAGGACAGCTAGCAGGAGCAGAGACCACAGCCGAGGGGGAAAGGCACCAGGACCCCCAAAAAGCTATCAGACGGCAGCCCACAGGGCACGCGGCCCAGTGCCTGCCCCTCTGCCCATCCGACACGCCACAGACACCGCTTCCTCAGGCGTCCCCGGACCCGTGTGACCCTGTCCCCTCCTCCGCCAGGTGAGAGTGGCAACAGTAGGACGATGTGGAGAGGGAGGTTTGACCCTGGGCTGAGCGGAAGCTTGACCTCCCAGGACAGATGCCCACACACATCGTGCCAATGGAGAGGCCAGGAAAACCCCCGCTGGAGGACATCCCTGAAATGTGGGGCAGGAGGGGGACGGAGAGACAGCGGACACCCCAGATCAGTCCCTGAGGCCCCCCCGACTTCCCGAGGGCAGGTGGTTAGGATGGTACCAGGTCAGAGCGGATGGACCCGTGTGGAGTCTGGAATAGCCGGGTTTTATACTTCTTCGGGGCCCTGGCCGGGCACGGAGTCCCTGGGCGTGGTGGTGCCCTCCGGGGGGCCGGGCTGCCCGGGGCCGAGGCCCGTGTCTTCCACGCTCAGGAGGCTGCTGGCCGCCCGGGAGCTGGCGCTGTCGGCGCTCCCCGACCGGGAGCGGTAAGGAGGCAGGTCGGCCTGGTTCAGGGACTCGGTGTCGGAAGAGTAGGGCGGCGGAGGGAGGTCGTACCACGCGGGTCTGCAATGGGGGAGGCAGGGAGAGGAGAAGAAAGAGAAGCGTTAGGAGGAGCCAGGGCACGGCTGACTTCTGCCCGGTTCTGGGCGGATGCTGGTGTGAGGCAGGAGGCCAGCCCTCCGGGCAGAGAGGCCACCCAACGTGGTGAGTACTAAGACGGAATGAAGCGGGTCAGTGCCCGCCGGCTGGCCTGTGCCAACGGGCAGGGCCTAGCCACAGTCTCTGGTGGAGCCAGAGCGAGGATGCCAAGTGACTTGGCAGAGTGGCTCTGCTCCATCACCAGGGGTCCCGTGGCCAAGCTGCTGGCCTGGCGCTCGGTGGAGCCTCTGATGAGCCTCAGGATTCCGGGTTCTTACGGGAGCCCGCCTGCTGTGTGGACATGGGTAAGGGAGAGGACACCTTCCCAACACCCCCGTCTCTGCAGGAGGGTATGGTAACGGCATCTTGCTCCCGGGGAAGGAAGAGGAAAGATCCTTGGCTTCCCGGCTCTCACTTCCTGAGGGCTCACTGGGAGCGGCCCCATGCCATGCACCTCACACCCATGCCTTTGGGAAGGGCCACAAGAACGAAGGGGTAGTTGTTCCTTTATGCCCTAGTACAGGGAGGAAACTGAGGCAGGGGCACTAAATGACTCGCAGAAGACCACCCATAACTTGTAAGCATGGGGCTGGGAACGGGACCCCAGGCTATGGGGGTGAGTGACATCCTGAACACGTAGGCTTCCTTTCTAAGAAACCCCTAAGTACTGCCCCCTGAAGCTACCTTTTATGAGGAGGGGAATAAAAAGATTAAATAATACAAGAGCGGCCACTGAAGAGGGCCCAAGAGGACCCCGGGCACCCCAGGACCAGGGGGTGCAAACTGCTCATGCCACACGGTGCATGTGAACTTGGAGAAAGGGGGACGCTAAGCAGAGCTCGTCAGGGGGCGTGGCACCCTCAGAACCCAGGGGACCCTGGGAGCTCTGGCCAGGGACTTCCAGAACAACAATTTGGGGACACCCTGGAGGTCCCCAAAGGAGGGAGGCAGGCTGGGCAGGCAGGACTCAGGCCCATCTTCCATGTCAGCCCCAGAGTTCTGCGTTCGGACTTCAACACTGACTCCACTGGTCAGAGGGTCTCACTTCTTAACACAGCCACGCCGAGTAAAGGGACTTAGTAATCCACTCTCTCCTTCATTCATTCATTCATTCATTCATCCCACACGTTTTAACCGAGCCTCTGACAGGCACTGCTCTGCGGTAGCTGCGAGGGCCCCAGAGTGTGACAGCCGGCCAGTGGCCTCAAGGTGTCAGGGTGGCATTCCCGCGCCAGGATCCCAGCTGTAGGTCCTTCACAAGCGTCTGAAGTCCAAGAGCCTCCGTTTCCTCTCTTGTGAGATCAGGGCAGACACAGAGCCATCCCCAGGGAGTCGCTGGGGAGATTAACTGAGATGATGCATGGGAACTGTCCTGCAAGGACTCAGTAGGCCAGATGCTGCTGTCCCTATGGCACCCAAAGGCAGGCTCTTGGCAAGACCAGGAACCCAGGCTGCCATCATTCTGCTCCCCCTATTGGATCATCGGATAGGGGGAGCAGAATGATGGCAGTCTGTGTTCCTGATCTTGCCAAGATGGTTCTGTGTCTGCTCCCCCCCCCCCCCCCCCCCCTCGCCGGCCCCGTCTCTTCCAGCCAGCACGCACCTCTGGTCCAGCAGGGCCTCGGAGTAGGAGGGCGGGGAGCCCACGTCCGAGGCGTTCTGCTCGGCCTGGCTGGCCACGTACTGGATGCCGTTGTTGACGTTGTAGGTGACGTTGCAGTGGTGCGGGTGGTCGAGCACCACGAGGCGTGACAGCAGCACGGGGTGCTGCAGCCGGTGCACGGGCAGCGTCATGAGGTTGTTGCGCTTGCGCTGGTGGTGCAGGACCAGCGCCAGCAGGGCCACCACGAGCACGAAGATGACGGAGCTGCCGATGATGGCGTAGGTGATGCTGGGGTAGTATACCAGCTGGTTCTCCGACGTCACGAACACCTGCCCGCTGCCCGGCTCTGGGAGAGCCCGAGGGGAGAGAAAAGGAGGAGGTCACTGATTTAGCTCTCACCCCTTGGCGTGGTGGTCTGTCCCAGGACCTGCGTGCAGATGTTGGCAGCAGCACGGTTCACAGTAGCCGTAAAGTGGAAACCACAGACATGGATAAGCAGAATGTAGTACATCCACATGTAGAAAATATATATATATTTAAAATATATTTTATTGATTTTTCTCAGAGAGGGAGAGGAACTGAGAGTTAGAAACATCAATGACAGAGAAGCATCGATTAGCTGCCTCTTGCACACCCCCTACTGGGGATGTGCTCGCAACTAAGATACATGCTCTTGACCGGAATCGAACCCGGGACCCTTCAGTCAGCAGGCCAACGCTCCATCCGCTGAGCCAAACCGGTTTTGGCCACATGTATAATATTACTCAGCAAGAAAAAGGAAGGAAGGACTGACCCATGCTACAACAGGGATGAACCTCAAAAACATTATGGGAAGCAAAATAAGCCAGACATAAGACCCCATGTAGAATTCCATTTACATGAAGTGTCCAGGAAAGGCAGATTTATAGACAGGAAGTAGAATGGTCGCCTGGAGAGGCAGGGTTGGGGGGTAAGAGTTGGGGTGGGAGGCGGGATGAACTGATAATAGGTATGAGGGAAATGTTGAATGTGGTGATGGCTGTACAAATTTGTAAATTTACTAAAACCCATTGAACGACACACTTAAAATGGGAAAATTTCCTGTTACGTAAGTTATACCTCAATAAAGTTGCTTAAAAAAAAAAAAATCAGTGCCAGGAACTACAGTATCTAGGGAACAGGAGTAGTTCCTGTGGCAGAAATCAGTTTTTCCGAGGAAAATTATTTATTTATTATGATTATTATTTTTTAAAATGTAATTTTAGTGATTTCTGAGAGGGAGAATGAAATGAATGAAGGGCCACAACTACCCACGGGTGCAGCCCAGCTGGAAGAATCACCTAAATACAGTCCAGTTGAGTGAACCTGGTGACCACACCCTGCGGTCTTCCCACCTGGGGAAGCGTGAGGAGGTGGCGATGGGCCCATGGGGGCCGAAATGTAGGTGACAAGTAACGGCAGCGGCAGTGACCCCTGCTTTTCAGGATGGTGTCCTGGTGCTGGGCTACCCTTTAGTATAGGGGTGTCGAACTCAATCAGAGAAGGGGCCAAAATCTAAAATCCAGCCTAAATCGCGGGCCAAATGGTTTACTGAATAGTCATGAACTGTCATTGTGATGGAAACGCAGCGGAGTGCAGTGATGACAGCGCGGTGCGGGCCACATTGCAAGGCCTGGCGGGACGGATTTGGCCTGCGGGCCTTGTGTTTGACACATGTGCTTTAGTACATTCCTCATCACTCAAGGTGTGCCTGTTCTGTTCATCACGGTATCCCCACTGTGTGCCTGGCACATAGTAGGTACTCAAATGCACACAACTTAATGAAAAAAAAAAATCTGTGTCTTCACATATGCTGGTAAGGCAGGTGCTTTCATTGTTTTCCTAGAGGCCTGATGCACGAAACTCATGCAAAGTAGGCCTTCCTTCCCCCAGTTGCCGGCTCCTCTAGCACCTGGTCCTTCCGGCCGCCAGCAGGCACCCAGGACCTGGGCTTCCGAAGGATGTCCAGTCTAATTAGCATATTACACTTTCATTATTATAGATGATTCCTACTTTTCAGTTGAGGAAATCGACAGAGAGAGGTGAATTAACCTGTCTAGCATCACACACGGAATAGAGAGGTGAGCATCAGAACCCAGATATTCCTCCTTCAAAGATCCACAGACTGTGAAACACATCATCTTCCTTCCCGATCTCAGTATTTCCAGATTCCCCCCCAATAATCCTCCTCTGACACAGATCTTCCCCCGCAAGCTCTGGGCTTTGTGCTAATTTTCTTTCCAGCTACGCTCAAACATGAATGGAAGCTCCGACGTTCCCATGGGGCACTGTTTCAATGATCAACTGTTCAGAGAGAAGCAAACAGAGCCCCAGACGAAAGGCAGAAGCACGCCCCAGACAGTTACGGGAGGGCGGCCTCTGGAGGCAATCAGCTGTCGCTCAGGCACCTGCTGGCATTCTGTCTGTTCTCAGCTATGTCCTCGGAGGCTGGGTGGGGGCCTGCATGCATGTGTGTGTGTGTGTGTGTGTGTGTGTGTGTGTGTGAGAGAGAGAGAGAGAGAGAGAGAGAGAGAGAGAGAGAGAGAGAATGAGAGAGAGAAGTCAGACGTAAAATAAAACGGCCTCTTCACTGTGTTGTCTGCAGCACAGAGCAGAGGGTTGCAATCTGGGCCATCGTGTCTCGGTGTTCTCAGGCACGCTACTGACTGTTATGAGCCTCAGATGCCTTATCTTTAAAACGGGGTGGTTCTGTGTGAGCAGCAATGGCCATCTCCTTGAGCTACCGAGAGGGTAAAGTACACTGCACGGAATCCACAGAGATCAGAGCCAAGTGCCACAGAGGTTTGCGTTCAATTAATGCTAGTTCTTTTTTTCTTTTTAAATATATATATTTTTTATTGATTTCAGAGAGGAAGAGAGAGAGAGAGAGAAATGTCAATAATGAGAGTCATTGATCCGATTTCTGGGACTTTTTATCGGATCCCTTCACATCCGGTGTGAAAAGGGAGCTGGGATGCTGATGGCTGAGAAGAGGAGGTGCCACCCAGAGGGTCACACACCAGCCAGGGCCGGGGGGACATGAAGTGCGACCTTCTCAGGGCTGTGCTGAGAGCTGAGAAGTCTGGCTGAGCGTACATTCCTTTATCCACTTAACCACGTCCCAATGGTAGCTTGGGCCCTGAGCTCAGTGCTGGGGATTCTGGAACCAAAACGGCAGAAGCTCAGATGTGGGAGAAGCTCTGGGACTGCTTCTCCCCAGTGTGCCCCCGGTTACCCATACCCGCCTGCAGCCAGTCACGGGAGCGCCCTGGCCACTGTAAGCCAAGGGCACCCCACACCCACCCTGTGGGGCTGCAGCGCCTTTGGGGATCCCATTCCAAACTCAACTCCTGTCCCAATTTAGATGCAGATTGAAACGGTTTAATTTAGAGGGCAGACTAACACATGACTGAATCAAAAGAGAACCGTGAAAACCCCACTGGTCCATTTCCATGGCAACTCAAGTTTCTAAAATTAACTGAAGGGAGGGTGGCGGGAAAATCCACGAGGCCAGCCCGCCCTGCATCAGCTGGACCATCCTAGCCCGAACCCGAGGGAAACCAGAGGGACCCAGCTGCTCAGAGGGAACTAAGGCTCCAGTACCACCCAGAAGCAGGAGACAAGCTCCACACAATGAAATGCAAAGCGAGAGAGGTAAGAGATGAGAACGCTCTGGGTCTGAAGGCGGAAGGAGGCAGACTTCTCAGTTGTCCTTATTAGAAAAGACCAAGGGGTTCCGTCCTTCCCACCCTTCCCCATGCCCGCCCTTGGGTCAAGGAGACAAGGAAGCATCCCTGAAAGTCCCTGCATTTTCTTTTTTTAAAATATTTTTTATTGATTACAGAAAGGAAGACAGATAGAGACATCAATGATTAGAGAGAATTATTGATTAGCTGCCTCCTGCATGCCCCACACAGGGGATTAAATCTGCAACCCAGGCATGTGCCCAGATCGGGAATCCAACCGTGACTTCCTGCTTCATGGTCAGTGCTCAACCACTGAGCCACACGGGCCAGGTGACCCTGCATTTTCAATAAGTGCTACTGAGACAGCCAGCCCTTACCCGGAGCCCCTAATGGACAGCGAGGAGAGCACATTGGTATGGAGCAGTGGTCGGCAAACTGCGGCTCCAGAGCCACCTGCGGCTCTTTGGCCCCTTGAGTGTGGCTCTTGCACAAAACACCATGTGCGGGCGCTCACGTACAGTGTGACTGAAACCTTGTGGTCCATGTGCGGAAGTTGGTTTTCGGCCTGGGTGAGTCTATGTTGAAGAAGTGGCGTTAGAACACTCAAGGGTGCCAAAGAGCCGCATGTGGCTTGCGAGCCGCCGTTTGCCGACCACTGGTGTGGAGGAAGCCCCTGTGATCCCAGCGCCCTCTGAGGCTGCTGAGCCCTGCTGTGCCCTCAGAGCTGGAGCTGGGCTTCTGACCCTCTGAGAGGAAAGGTGCCAATGACAAGGCAGGGAGAGGGTGGTAAATGGCTTCCTGGGGTGACAGAACTGGCTGTGACAGAACTGGCTGGAGGATAAGAAGCGAAAATGGCTATTTAAGGTAGAAAAGGGCATTATTAATTTGGGATTCAGATTGCCAGCAAAACTCAGTGATGAGGGAGACAGGGAGCTGGAGTCCCGGGGGCCTTTTTAGGACTCTGCTCGACAGTGTGATGGCCTACACAAGGACAGCAGGAGAGTGCAGTGAGGGGGAGCCGCAGTTTGCCGACCACAGTTCTATTCAGTCTGGCCATGGATGCAGGGGTCTCCACACCTCTCTTTCCTGAGCACACAGCGGCTCCCAGACCCAGGCTCCCACACCTGACATTCTGGACTGTTCTCGCAGGCCACAGGCTAAAGCGGAGACATGTGCCTCCTGGAATTTGCTGAATAAGGAAGGGCTGGACAGATTGCTATTTCTATTGCTTACTGTACCTATTTACTTGTAGTGTCTGGTGGAAACGGCGAAATTAAACGCTTAGCAGACATTCTTTGAACTGAACACTCAGTTGGTTTCTAGCCCGGTTATAAGGCTTGGCAAGTTCTAATACGGTGGGTCATTGGGCCTGCAGCATCAGCAGCCGGCGCAAACACTGCTAACTCAAGTGGGAATCAGGGAACAGCAATGCTTCCTGAATGTGTGAGTGCCGTATACTCATACACAACAGCACTGCAGGGAAACGCTGACCCTAAGGACCGAAGAGGGGAGAAAACTCCCGCAGGCGTGCCATTGTCACTGCAAATAAAGTTTCATTTGTGGGGCTGAGAAAACAAACAGCATCAGTTACAACCCTACGCACCCCAGCCACCCTGAGTGATGGGAAATCCCAGCATCAGCT